TGATCCTGTTTTATAGGATTATATTCTAAATTTGAAAAAAGTAGTCTCGCATATTACTTAAGGGAGTGTAATCTTAACAATAAAGTGAATTTACCTATTTACCGCATGAACAAATATTATGAAATGGCATTAAAAGAAACAAATGTCATAACTGCTGAGCAAATGCGTGAAGTGACCAAATACTGTATTATCAATGCTCTTAGTTGTCAGCGATTAATGGTCAAGCGCAATGTAATTAATGAATATAGAGAGGTAATATCTATATCTTTCTTATCATTATATGATGCACATTATTTCGTAGGAGGAATGAAAGTATGTAATCTTTTGGGTGCTAGTGCATGGCAAAGAGGGTTTTTAACTAGCACTATATCATGCGAACAAACAGAATCTGAGAGCTTCCCAAGAGCATATGTCTTCCTATCAATAAAGGGACTCAAAAATAAACGTCCTGTAACTGGCTTAGACTTTGCATCTTTGTATTCAAGCCTTATCATAAAATACAACCTCTCGTCCGATAAAATCATTTTATCTCGAGAGCGTACTGAACAAAGTGGTAAAAAACTTCATGAAATTAGTTTTAAATTCAATAATCAGGATTGTTTCGCATAGTCTATCCAACATAATAACATTCCCGAAGAAAAAGGTCTCTATGCCAATATGTTAGAATATTTATCTAGTAAATGGAATGAGATAAAAAAACGTCTCGCTCCCTTGAAAGAGAAAAAGGAAAACATGGATCTGGTAATTGGTTTAATGGATAAAGGTTTATCATTATCAGGAACTATTAAGCAAGTCTTAGCAAATACAGAAGAAAAAAAGCATGCCAGCCTTAGCAAAAGTTTATATCATTTTATTAATAAGGAAAAACATGAATTTATAGCTGAATATGATTCTATTTGTTTTGACTGCTCTTGCTTAGATGCAAAACAATATGCTGCACACTAGTAGGAATATCTATTAAAATATATTATGAAAAAATTCAAATGGTGTCCGCTATATTATTACGCAAGAGATGAGCGCAAGTGTCGATATATTTTTGAGAATCTGCTAGGCAAAAAATTCTCATCATGCAAGCCAGATTTTTTGGATGGAATGCAACTTGATAAATATAATGAGAAATTGCATCTTGCATTCGAATTTCAGGGTTCCTAACACTATTATCACAATAGTCTATATCATCAGGAGAATGAAACTTTAGAAATACAAAAGATACGTAATCAGAAGAAGCGGGATATATGCAAGGAACAAGGCATATGCCTAAAGCTCTGAACGGTTCAGATTAATCTGAAAATTTTCGGTTCGGATCAACTTCGGTTCAGTTTTAGATTGAAAAATTTCAATCTGAAAATTTTCGGTTCAGTTCAGATTTTTTTCAGATTATAAATCTAATCTGAACCAAAAAAAATCTGAACTGAACCGAAAATTTCAGATTAATCTGAAATTTCAGATCGTTTGGAACGATGAAATTATCGTTCCAAACGAACGATAAAAGAATCGTTCGATTGGAACGATTAAATTATCGTTCCAAACGAACGATAAAAGAATTGTTCATTTGGAACGATTGAAGTTATCGTTCTAAATGAACGATAAGAAAATCATTCAGTTGAAACGATGAAATTATCATTCCAAACGAACGATAAAAGAATCGTTCATTTGGAACGATAAAATTATCGTTTCAAACGAATGATAAAAGAATCGTTCATTTAGAATGATTGAAGTTATCATTCTAAACGAACGATAAGAAAATCGTTCGATTAGAATGATGAAATTATCATTCCAAATGAACGATAAGAAAATCGTTCATTTGGAACGATCAAATTATCGTTCCAAACGAATGATAAGAAAATCGTTTGATTGGAACGATCAAATTATCATTCTAAACGAATGATAAAAGAATCGTTCATTTGGAATGATTGAAGTTATCGTTCCAAACGAACGATAAAAAAATCGTTCATTTGGAACGATTGAAGTTATCGTTCCAAACGAACGATAAGAAAATTGTTCGATTGAAACGATCAAATTATCGTTTCAAAAGAATGATAAAAGGATCGTTCTAAACGATCTGAAATTTTGGATTAATCCAAAATTTTCAGTTCGGTTTGGATTTTTACTAGTTTATAGTTCGGTTTGGTTTCGAATTGGCATTTATAAGATTTATAATCCGAACTGAACTGAACCGAAATTTTCAGATCGGTTTCAGATTGGCCTATAATCTGGACCAAACCAAACTGTTTGGAGCATTACATATGCCTTATCGAAATTCCATATACCACTGATCTTTTTTCCTATATCAAACATACATTAATCGAGAAAGGATTCTTGGATGAAGCAAAATGGTCTCAAAAGGACCAGCCAAAGCCCATGTAATTTTGAGTGAACTTGGTTCACTGAAATTTCACTAAAAAATTTTACTTCGCTTAATATAATATTAATAATACTTAGTTTCAATAATATGAAAATCGAAAAGCTTAATCCGGCAGAAAAAATCATTCTTCATGTTGATGAGATTAAAGATGCAAAAAGGTTTAAAAGATTAAATTCAACTCCTCAATAGTCCTTTACATTACTAATCAGTGGTCGTACCAATTCAGAAAAAACTAATAAAGTCGTAAACCTATTATTAGGGAATAAGCTTTATCGTATGTTTAATGGTAAAAAAGAAGGAACATGCTATATAAAAAATGACGATTTTGTCCTTATCAGTCACTATCTCAAAGAGCCAAAATATTTATATCTCAAATCAGCATATCAGATAATTGCAAATAGCCCAAAACCATATTGTGAAGATATTACATTTCAGGCTTTAAAGCCTGATAAAATTCCAAATCCTGATTCCTTTTCTTCAGAGAGAGGTACAGTAGCCATATTCGAAGATGTGTGTGCTGATTCAAAGAAAGTTCAGAAGAAAATTAAACCTTATTTTTCTAAAGAATGACACAGTAATATTAGCAGTATTTACGTCTCTCAGAGTTTTTTTGACTGCCCAAAACTGATAAGAAAAAACTTAAATTATGTTGTACTTTTCAATGGGTCCATTTCAGATGAATTAGCTCATATTCTTCGTCTATATTCTAATGACTGGCGTAGCATATATGCGGATGTTGAAAACTATTTATGTAAACAGAACTTCGTTGTCTTCAATTTGACAGTACCCCCAAACCATCCCCACTGAATACGAAAAGGATGGGACCAAATTTTTGAAAAAAAAAGACATTGAATTATGAAATGCTATTAGTAATACCTGAAAATGATTAGTCAATAAATCCTAATACATATAGTTCTTGTTGAATAATCTTCTTAGGATCTTTATCATTATACCATATGTAAAAGAGGTATATATCATTTTCTTCATATAAGTTTTTCTTAATTTGATCCTGATCTTGCTGTTTGATAAAAATGTTTGGGTCTTCTCTATGAAAGAATTCAATATATTTTTCATGCTGTTCTCCTTGCACTTCAATTGCAAAGCTATAGTCATAGTAGGAAATATCAAGTTCTAATCCTTTAGGTGTTCTAAAGTTTTAAGAAAATCAGGTCGGCGTATCTTGGATGGTGGACCAAGATATTTTGTTATAATTTCACGACATAGATTTTCACGTTGATATTTACTGCAATGTGAACACTATGTATTTTTATTTTTAATACTATTAAGTGATGCATTCCATTGATGTCTATTATAGCATTCCCATAAGAGCGGGAATATGATATTATTATATTTTTTTGAGAGACATTTACCTTCTTTATTAAAAGCCAGATCTCTTATAATTTGGAGATCAAGTTTTAAAGAATTATCTTCACATACTGAACACCAACTATCACGCTATATGCTATGTAAACTGCATTCCATTCATGACACTTCACACAACTCCACAATAATGGTTGGTTTGTATCAATATAATTTTCTGAGAGGTATTTCCCATTCCTTCCATATGCTAAACTTTTTACAAATTCTATATCATATTTCAATCCACGCCTTGCACAGTAGGGACACCATGTATTACGATTTTTTACATTACAGAATGATACTTGCCATTCATGGCCTTTTATGCATTTTCATTCTAAAGGTGATTTGTTATTAATATATTTTTCTGACAAACATATTCCCTTTGTTAAAAGCGATATCTCTGGCTTCTTTTAATTTATGTGATATCTTCAAGCATTCGGGATACCATGCATCATGATTTTTTATGTGATATAGCGGTTTGTACCATTCATGACCTTTAGCGCATTTCCATAAAAGTGGAGAACTAGAATTAACATATTTTTCAGATAGATACTGCCCATTTTTGCTATGAGCTATCTGTCTAGCTTCTTCGATAGTATGAGATGCATTTCCCACACAATATGGACACCATCTCTTACCGATTTTGATATAAGAAAATCTTGCTTGCCATTTATGACCTTTTGCGTATCTCTATTTCATGAGTGATCGGTGATTAATATATTTTTCTGAAAGGCATATTTCTCCTCTTTCCATAGCTATTGCATTCATATCTTTTAATGTATATTTGATTCCCATTTCGAACTATAATACTCACGGCTTTTGTGATTTTAATTAATGAGAAAAATAATTCTGATGTACTTACATGAAAAAATTAATTTATTGTATTAATTAAAATATTAAGATTTTTCGTAAAAATGCCTGGCTAATTCATAATTTTACTGACCTCAGAGTCATGGAAGCATTTCATTTTGAACTGCCGATCACTTTTGTCAATAAAAAAAATTCTCAATAATACATAGATTTTACTTTTTCGATACACACACACCTACACTTCGCAATCACACTAGGATATTAAATACATGGTTAAATTAATGCGAACTAAGATAATTACACTACCTAATAACTAACTAATAAATTCTGCTGACTAAATGTTACATAACATTACTAATCATAACAAGTGATTTTCAAGAAAAAATAACCCACAACAAACTATCAATAGCATAAGTAATTCAATGCAAATACATCAACATGAGCTAATTCATTGGATTTGATGAAATTACAAGGATTTGCTTTTTCTCTTATTGACCCATTTAGTTTCTTCAATTAAGTTAATTTCTGGAATCATCGTACTTCTAGGTGCCTTGGGTGTGATCGTTGGATGACGGGAGAAGTTATTACGGCAAGGAGAAACATTATCAATCTTACTGGAAGATCCCCTACTATTTTTATTAGAATAAGAACTATCAATACGACACTGAAAAGCAAACAAAAAAGATAAGTATGTAGAAACTCAAAATTTCTTGACATTATCAAAAAGAGACTTACTTTGAAATAAAATGTTTCTATTATCAACTTTCTTATGAGATTAAACTCAGAGAGTTTCTGAGCAAGTTTAATTTCAAAGAGTTGAAAGTATCGGTAATTCCCATCATACTCTAAATCCATTATTCCCAAATAGATATAACCCTCTATAATGTTTTAATAGAAAGTGAGAAAAACTGGAAACGCAATAAGTGTAAAAAAGTAGACTTACTACAAATATGTCCTCCGAAAGACTTTAGCTCTGGTGTGTTTTCACGTGAAGAAATTATTCTGCTGATGCCTCCCTGGCAAAAGATGGTTACTTTGTAAAGATTATAGCCACCAATCTTACTATTTCTTGTGACAGAGAAATGCTTGACTTCTATGAAGCATGCTTCTTCACGTTCATCTTTATACGTTTCTTCACTTTCTTCTTTTTTCATGATTCGATATATTGTTATGTCAGGCTTTCTACCTTTGGAACGTCCATAAGTCGCTCTGTGTTCTCTTGAAGATAAACTTTCAGTGTTTGCCCTATTAAATAAAGAACAAGTAAAGATAAGGAACAATGACAATAATTAAATACTAATAAATCTCAAAATTTTATTACCAAATGATCTCGTAATTCAGATCACAGAATATTTCTTTGAAGGTATCATGTACATAGTCATGTACAATAGTATCCTCATTTTTATTCCTTGAATCTGAATACATATGCATCTTTTCAAAGCTTGAAGAAAAGATCATATGGATAATTATTGGAAAGAAATGGCGAGAAAAAAAAAGGTTAAAATCTAAGAATCTTACAATGCACGCGCAACTGCTTGGATAGTCTTAAACAAATGCCTATCATTATCCAAATAAATGACTTTGTCATGATATTTTCCTCACGTATCATAGAACTTGAAACGAAGCTCATCTATATCGTATATCTCCTATTTTTGATTGCAAAAAGGATATTAGCTGTAATTATTACAGGTTTGCACATACTAGACACATACCATTTTGTATTCATCCATCATCTCTTCAAAGAAACTGGGTGGAGTTTGTTGTTTTGGTTAACGTATAGAAATACGCTATTTTCATTTATCATCTATATCTAAATACAATGGTTTTTTCATGGTTGTCAAGTCAATAAATATGATATTGTGAAGGGACCTGTAATACAAAGGATTTGTTAAACAATCAGATGTCTTGAAGATGTAAAATCAACCTACACTTACAAGATCGCCTCACTGTCTGATGAAAAGCAAAAAGTTTTGCCAACTTCTAGTTTATCAATATTTTTAATTTGATATTTGCAAAATGCGTCAGAAATATTGTATCCTTCGATAAACCACTGAAAGGGCAAAGCAATGATCAATACAGAAATTTTTTTCCAAGACTTGATGCGGATTCGTAAAAAAAGAACAGTAAACTTATATCCTTCTGTGAAGAAATATCACAGAGATCCTAACGAATTTTTAGATATGCATCACACATCATTTTTTTGTTAGCCACGATATCTCCATTCTGTATATAGATTAAGTTAGGCATTAGAGAGGCTGAAAAAATACATCTGTTTAACACCTCATCATTTCTATAACTTGTTCATTTACCTTATTTATAATGATCAGAGGAATCATTTTTGTATCTTCTTGTTCCTGATTAGGCATCTGCGAAGAAGTTTCAGAGAAAACGTCCATAGTGAGAACAGATGATGATGATTCTTCATCACTGAACGTTAAATCATTATAGATTGGTTTCACTTCTGTCTCACTAGCGGTACTAATTATTCTGATCTGTGCACATATTCGAAAGGTGAGAAGATATTTTTTGTTGTGTAGAAACACAGTTGAAAAATATAACTACCTTATCTTTCAGAGTTTGTAGCTAAGCCGGCAAAAGTTAAAAAGGGGAGAAGTGACTGCACGCAAAGTAGGAACTTCAACATTGTTTTGATCTACTGTTGTTTTTTGTGAAGATGTTTAGCAATAAGCAACTTTGTAGTGGTGGCCAGTATCTCAAATAATTTAAGCTAAACATACCAGTTCTGATTCTCTTCCTTTCTTGTTCTATTGCATCAAACTCGGTATTGACGCATTCCTGAAGTCCTTGTTATACAATTTGAAATTCCTGTTGTGTTATTTTATGGACAGATTACCTTCCCCTTTTCTGTCATAAGTTCAATAAGAATTGAATAAGAAGTTGTTAGGATGCATTAAAGAGATTAATGAGTACTTACTCTATCAATTTTCAATTCCAAGTCGATCAAATTAGACTTAATCTTCAATGATGTGATTTGATTCTTTTTCTCCCAAACTTTGTAATTTTGCGTGTTCTCCATCTATATATAAAATAGGTAATTAGGATTAGTGATGCACTCTTGAAATATTAGATAGGATGGAAGTTCACAAAGTGCTATAGACACTTGTTCTGACCAACGTTTCAATGCCTACACACACACAGAACTACCCATCAGTTTTACACTCAGAAAAACTTTCTCAACACTCAGTTGCTGAATTAGGCATAGAGTACGCCAGCTACGTTTTTATAGCCACGCACACGCAGAGCTACCCGTCAGTTTTACACTCAGAAAAACTTTCTCAACACTCAGTTGCCAGATTAGCTATAGAGTACGCTAGCACTATCAAATCTGCGAAGCCGAAAAAAAAATTTGTACTTTCCTTCAATTTGTTTTGCAATTCACAAGCTATTTTATAAGCAGATTTAGTGCTATCGTATATCTGCTTTAGGGCTTTAATTCATCAGCCAAGGTTGAGTATGAATTCTGTTTATTAACTGATACTGAGTGTGGCTGTTCAATCCAGTAAATGTTCCAATCGTTGACTTCTCCCTCGGCATTAGGGTCTCAGTCCCAATAATCTAAATAGTCAAAGTTTGTACTGCTCATTTGTTTTGACTAATAACAATACAGTAACACCTCTATAAATGCACACTCTATAAATACACACCCTCTCTATATGTACACTATATCTTGGTCCTAAGCTTGGGACTTAGAGCTAAATGCACACCCTCTATATTCTACACGTGCAAGTAATTTTAAGTCCTGGGTATAATTGGAATACCTCTATAAATGCACTCACGTGACTAATACATAAATCCAGCTAA